ACCACTGTACACTGCTCTGCATTGATCTGCACCGTTCAATCTATGGCCTTAATGCGTTAGACACCAGCCTTCGTCTTCACTAATTACCACGTGCAGCTGGACGTGTCTCTGCTGCCCACTGTGGTGAGTGCCGCACTGCACCGCTCTGCACCGCCACTGCACCACCCTACAACACTCTACACCTCTCTGCACTATTCTGCACCGCTCAATCTATAGCCTGTGTGCGCCAGACTCCACCCTTCAACTCCACTCACCACAAGTTGCAGCTGGATGTGTCATTGCCACACCTTTTTCCACCACTCATCACCACTGAATGTCTTCGTCTGTACCTCCCCATCACAGGCTCTGGACTGATGTTGCTCGAAGTTTCAGACAAGTGCGTGCCCCTCCGCTGACTTGTGATGCCAATGCCTGCCTCCCTCCCCATCTCCACCCCCCAGGCGAGTTTTGAGGCGCCTCAAAAATCCTCTCAACTGCGTGCCCTCCTCTCACTTGGGATGCCAATTCCTGCGAATCTCCCTTTCACACCCCCTCCAGGCTGACAGCGCGGAGAGGCAGAGCACCATGCTGGCTGGTTACTTGGTGGCACGGGGCCATGGCACAGACACACACCAGCCTGCCTCTCTGCTGCCAGCCTGCTCGCCTGGAGGCTGCTCTTTCTTCCACCTTCCACCTTTACCGCCTGCCTTCCAATCTCTAGTCCCCCTCTCCCTTCCCTCCCTTTCCCCCACCCCGCTCCCCATTTGCCCAGGCCTACGCCTTCATAGCAGTCATGCAGCTATCGCAGTACTCTCTCTACGCATACGACACGGTAGCCCACATGGCTGAAGAGACCAAGCACTCCCCACTTGCAACTCACCTCTCTTCACCTCTCTTCACCTCATTCTATTCCCCTCCACCCAGGCCTACGCCTTCATAGCAGCGATGCAGCTATCACAGTACTCCCTCTACGCATACGACACCGTGGCCCACATGGCAGAGGAGACCAAGCGCTCCGACCGCGCGTCCCCAGCCAGCATGGTGCTCTGCCTGTCCGCTGTCAGCCTGCTCGCCTGGGGGCTGCTCGTGGCCTTCACCTTCTGCATTCAGAACGATGAGAATCTCACCAGCACGGACAGCGTCACGGGCGGCCAGCAGATCCTGGTTACCATCATTTGGGAGGCCTTTTTCGCTCGGTAAGTGGCTTGGTAAGTGGCTTGGTAAGTGGCTTGGTAAGTGGCTTGGTAAGTGGCTTGGTAAGTGGCTTGGTAAGTGGCTCGGTAAGTTGCTCAATGAGGCTCGGTAAGTGGATCGGTAACGGCTTGGTATATGGCGCCCCCATTTCCCCTGTGTGTGTTTCCATGTTCCCTTTTCCCACGTCCTCTCACATCCTTCCATGCTTGACTCGACTATCCCCCCTCCCCACCATCACAGCTTTGGCAGCAAGGTAAAAAAATACGGTTATCATAAAAAACTTTGTTCTTCTAAGGTTTGTCTTTCACTCATTCATTACATCTCTCACTCATTCATTCCGTCACCCATTCCCCCCCACAGCTTTGGCAGCGGCACAGGGGCAGTGGTGCTGCTCTCCTTCATTTCATCTATGTCGCCTTGTGCTCTGCTTGTCCCAACTACCACGCACCCCCGCACTCCCTTCCCACAGCTTTGGCAGTGGCACAGGGACAGTTGTCATGCCCTCATGCATCCATGACGCTTCCCTCTTCCCTCCTCCCATGCACCCCCCGTCTCACTACCGTGCTCTGCTTTCCCCCTCTGTTGCCTTCCCCCCGCCCCACAGCTTTGGCAGTGACACAGGGGCGGTGGTTGTGCTCTCACTCATCGAGATCGCTTTCCTCTTCCTCTGCTGTGCTCTCCCTTCTTCTCTTCCCTGATTGCTATCCCCACTTCCCCCCACGGTTTTGGCAGCGGCACAGGGGCAGTGGTCGTGCTCCCCTTGCCTTCCTCCTCCCATGCACCCGTCTCACTACCGTGCTCTTATTTCCCCTCCTGTGCCTTTTTCTCCCCTCGCATAGCTTTGGCAATGGCACAGGGTCGGTGGTGCTCTCTCTCATCTACGTCGCCCTCCTCTTGCCCCCTACTGTGCTCTGCGTGCCCCCTTCCCCGCACCCCCCTCCCTCTTCCCGCCACAGCTTTGGCAGCGGCACAGGGGCGGTGGTGGTGCTCTCTCTCATCTACGTTGCTTTCCTCTTTGGCGTTTTCGCCGGCATCCTCGCTGCGTCCCGAGCGGTTAGTCAAACTCCCCACCCCACCCCACCCTGTGCTTGCCTTGCCAACCCACCCCACCCCACCCTGTGCTTGCCTTGCCACCCCACCCCACCCCACCCTGTGCTTGCCTTGCCACCCCATCCCTCGCTGTCTCTCTCTCAATCCTTCCACACCCCACCGAATCCCTCGCTGTGTTTGCTCTCATCTCCATCCCCTCCTCCCACCCATGTTGATTGCTGCATCCGGAGCAATCAGCTTCTTATCCATATTGATTGCTTATGGCATATGGCACCACAATGGTCTTCCCTTCACCTTCCTGCCTCACTCCCATTTTCCTTCTATCCTCTTCTCCCTGCCCCTCCTAAGGACTCCTTCGTCTTTCTCCTATCCGGTCCCTTGACGATTCCCTTCCACTCACGCCCTCCTTTCCCTCACCCCCTCCTCCCCTCCCCCCCACAACCCCCCACTCCCCCTATCCATCCACTTCCCCAGGCCTACGCCATATCGCGGGACAAGGGCCTGCCATTCGCATTCATCTGGCGGCAGGTGAACCGAGACAAGACGCCCATCTACTCCGTGTGGCTCTGCTGTGCTGTCGCCATCCTCTTCTCCCTGCCTCTCCTCAAGGACTCCTTTCTCTTCTCAGCCATCACCTCCCTCGCCACCGTCGCCTGGGTGGGCGGCTATGCTGTGCCCATCTTCTTCCGGTTGATTCAAAGGGAGGAGGACTTCGAGCCGGGGCCGTTCTACCTCTCCAAATACGTCGGCGTCTGGGGCAGGTGGGGGTGCCTTGCTGCGCAGTAGAGCCTTGACTGTGTGTGGTGCGTTGTGGTGGTGTGGTGTGGCGTGGAGGTGAGACTCATTTGAAGTATGCTGGTGTGTCGGGCAGGTGAGGCAGAAAGCACAGTATAGCATGGCATGGCATGGCTTGGTTTGGTGCAGCAGTGCTCATTCTCTGTTGCTTTGCTCCTGGTGCGATGTGATGCGAGCACCTTTTGAAATGTCTCGAAAGTCGTATGTAAACTTCATGTGGGTTTCTTGAGACCTCTCAAGACTTGCCTTGCCTTTTTTTTTTTTTTTTTTTTTTTTTTTTTGGGGGCTTTAAGGTGCCTTGCCTTGCTGCAATGCTCTGACTGGGTCTGTGCGACCCTGGTACGAGTGTGTGTATGGGGCATAAGATTTGGTCTCTGTCTTTTTCCCTAACCCTTGCAGACGGCACTGCTCATTCACCCCTCCTCCCTAAACCCTGGTCTCTTTCCTCTTCTCTAACCCTTGCAGAAGGCACTACGCATTCACCTCCACCCCTCCTCTCCTCTCTCTATCTCTCACTCACCCTCTGCCTCTTGGTGGAGTGCAGGAAACTAATCAACATTGGAGCCATTCTCTTTGTCCTCCAAACAGTCAGCATCTTTATGCTACCAATGGTCTTCCCAATCACCGCAAGCAACTTCAACTACGCGTGTGTCGGAATCTTCGTGGTAGTTTCCTTCTTCCTCGTCTGGTGGTTTGTTGACGCACGCCATTGGTTCGTCGGACCCTTTCTGGATAAGACGGCCACGAACAACCAATCGAAATACGCCGCGGGGAGATGGTTCATGTGATGAAGGAGGCTCTTGTTGCTGTAGCTTTGACCTGGCTTATTTATTGTTGGCTTTGGTTGGGTGGACTGACTTGAAGATCCTTTAGTGTGTGGAATGGAAGGCATGGTTCATGTACCGTATCACCCCGGATAAAAGAACAGGCCTATTAAAAGCGCATGCGCTTCTATCTGGAGCAATGCGCTTATGCCCGATCCTCAATTATAAGTGCACCCCCTTAAAAAACATGATTTATTATAAGCGCATGTTAGTTTTAAAATTGAAAAGCTGTCAAATTACTGTAACGAAGTTCATTTTAGGAGGCGATTAGCTGAAAATCAGATTTCCTTCGCATTCAAACCCTGTGCGTCCAGTCAGCAAGTGCTGTCAGAAGCTCCTAGTGACTCATTTTGAGTGTATGTTCTGGCAGGGAATCTTTCCCCGCCAAGTAGCGAGAGTTTTTCACCCACAACCCTGTTTCAAATCGACTCGATTGGGTGAGCAATGACGCGAACTACATCTACGTGGTAGTAGTTTAAAATTGTATATTTGTTACTTTATAAGCGCATGCGCCTAGTATATTGTTTACTCAATTATAAGCGCACCCCCCTGAAAATCATGTTTTATTATAAGCGCAGGTGCACTTATATCCGGGGTGATACGGTACCGTAATAATCTAGGGTAACCCAGTCAAAGAGACTGATTGGCTCGTTTGGTAATGGAGATTGCGCATTGAGGGCAATCTCCATTACCGTACGGTGTGTTCTTTCTAGTTGACCAGGCAAAACTGGCATTTTGCTGAATGCTTGAAGAAATGTTGGTACCAGTACAAGCTGTTACTGCAAGGTTGCGAATCACAAGTTTCATTACTGGTACTTATACCAAAGCATAGCCGTTACTTCAAGGTTGATTCAATTTACGGTACTTCCTTTCACCAACCAACCAACCCATCCAGAGACATGCACAGGCAAGGCAATCCAGCAAGAACAAGCACCACCACCCCCTCCACCCCCACCACCACATGAACACCACATGCCTCCACTCCACAGTAACACTAAACCATTACCACAGCCCCCTTGTGCCCACGCCTGGTCTTACATAGAGCCGCGTTGCTACATGAACATGGGGCGAGGGCAAGAGTGATGAGAGTAGTGAGAGCAGCGGCCGGTGAAGCAAGTGAACCTGCCATTGCAAGGAGGAATAACTGGGGAAACAGAATCAGGCCGGAACAGCCCACCTGAAAATTGGGAAACGAGGGTAGGAGAAAAGGAGGATCGGAGAAATGCGGAAATGTGCAGCGGAATCACAAAGCGATGTACCGAACAGGAGGGCAAACAGGAGGGCAAACAGGAAGGCAAACAGGAAGGCAAACAGGAAGGCAAACAGGAGGGCAAACAGGAAGGCAAACAGGAAGGCAAACAGGAAGGCAAACAGGAGGGCAAACAGGAAGCATTCGAGAGAAACGAAAACTTTGCCTACCACATCAGAAGGGAGATGACGCACAGGAGAAGAATGGGAGAAGCATAGGAGAAGCATAGGAGAAGCTTACGAGAAGTGTAGGAGACACAACTCACCAGCAGCCTTGGGAGGGGGTGGAGCAGAGGCACCAGCAGGAGGAGTAGCAGCGGCAGGGGTGGCACCAGCAGGGGTGGCACCAGCAGGGGTAGCAGCGGCAGCAGCAGTGGGAATGGAAGGAGAAGCAAGAGCAATGGTGCCCTCAGATGTAAGAGTGAGCGGCGCTCCAGCATACAGCACCACACCATTGCTGCCAATGATGGTCCCCTGCAGTGTACGACCCGTCCACATCAGGACCCGTGGGCGTGATCTTCGCCCCCACATCATCCACAATCTCTCCGGTCAGCAGCACCGTCGTTGCCCCCACGCGGAACCCCTTCTTCTCACCCGTGGTGTAAATGGCAAGGCCTGGCGCAGTGAGCGTGCCGTTCTTGTAAAGGGTATAGTCGCCAAACGATTTAGACCCGTCGGCGGCATTGGTCGTATACTTGGCAGGCTTGCCGGCAGAGTCAAGAACGGAGATGGACTCGCCGGCATTGTTCGTGAACCTGGCAAGATCGCCAGAGTGTACTTACCGCTGAGCGACAGGCTGCGGGTGGGGAGGTTCAGCGCGACGCTGGCGCCAGGCACGGCCGGAGCAGCCTGCGGCGCGAATTCGATCCCGTTCGCTGTGATGGTGAGCGGGCCGCCGACGTTCAGCACGGCGCCACCGCTGCCAACGATCGTGCCGTTGGGCCACCCTCTCAGATCCCCTGCACTGTACGACCCGCCGCCGTAAGGGTCTTCACTCGGCATGACCTGGTATCCCGACGCGTCGACGATGGATCCGTCCCTCATGACTTGCGTCGCGCCCATTTGAAAGAGCGCATCTGAGCCGTCAATGAAGATGGAAAGGCCGCCCGGGCCGGTGATGGTGCCGTTCTGGAACGCGGTGTACTCGGCAACGGTGGCGGAACCGTCCCCGTTATAGGTGGGCTCGACAGGCGCGCCGGCTTTGTCCACGACGACCAAGGTCTTGCCGTCAAACGAGGCGGTTTAGCCTGGTCCGAACGTCAGGCTGTTGGAGGCCAGGTTGTATGTGACGGGGGGGATCGGGGCCTGCCGCGCAATGGCGACAGTCGCCGAGACGATCAGAGCGAGCAACAACGGTAGCAGCAGCATGCGACTGAGCGGAGGAGTCTGGCACGCCATGATCATGGCTGGCAAGGGGTTGGAGTCCGACGGGTGGAGGCGAAAAGAACTTGTTGAAATCTAAGCAAGGGTCGAAATGACTCGGCGGATCGATCGAGTGATCTAAACTTCGCAGCTCCTCTGCTCTTTGTAGTGAACGCGGACGGGTGGCGTGAGTGGCCGACTCTGTCGGACAGACGGGTGGCTGGGAGCATTGCGGGACGGACGGATGTGATTAGGTTGCCCCTACAGCGAGGCGCGGCGGAAAGAGGAGAGAGCCGGGCGAAGGACTATCCGCATGCACTAACATCACTCCCTCCCCTCACACTCCCTCCTCATCCAACCTCCCCCTTCCTACCACCCTTTGTTCCACCCGCCTCCCCCTTTCTCCTCCCCTTCTCCTTCCCCCCAGCCCTACAACGAGGCGCGGCGGAAAGAGGGGGAGCCGGCGGGCGAAGGAACGAAGCCAAGCCAACCGAAGGATCGATTTGAGACCTATCTGCTCGTGCCATACTGACCAACCGATCGCAGCCACGTGCGCCGCCATCGCGAAAAAGCGAAACGCGATGGAACTCGAATCGCCACGCTCGGCTGCCCTGCCCGATTTCATCGCGTAAATGACGGACCCTCTGAAAAGGAATGCTACAGCAGGGCGATGCCGTGTGGAACCATGTACTCACCATCTCTGAAAACGAGTGGAACACAGCTCACTTCTAGTGCTGGATGCACTAACAACTTCAATCTCCGCGATGTGTGCTTATAGCTATCTCGAGCTTATCGCCTGAGCAAACCTCTTAGGCAAAAACAATTGATCGAGAATGTATACATGTGCACCCTAAATATTAAAGTATAAGCCTCATAAACAGAAAAAACATATAACAACTAACGCCCTTCTAATCTCCAAATCGTGCTACCATCACACTCCAAAACGTGCTGCCATCACACTAAACCGTCACTCCAAACCGTGCTGCCATCACACTCCAAACCGTGCTCCCAGCCCGCACACCCCTCGAAACCCTCCTCTCATTCGCATCCACGCATCGATCATGTATGGGGCCTCCACCCAAAGAGCCCCACCCTCCACCTTGGCATCGACCCCTCCCTATCCACCAAATCAACATCCATCCCCCCCCATGGAAGACGCTGCACGGAGCAGGATGACATGGGCTTGAGCCCGTTGTAACGCCGCCCCAATGAGCGCCTTCAGAGACCCCAAAAGATAAGCCGAAAATGCAGTGTCATCCTTCCGACATGCCCCCCATGACACAGCTCGCCCCAAATGCACGTCCCCCTACTGTCGAAGCCACCGCCGAAAACGTCTACCTAAACATCCCCACGTCTCCAGTATCAAAGGGGTGAAATGTACACCCCGGTTGCGCGCCAAGAGAGATGCGTAACCACCCGTCTTGCGACGCTCCCACTCCCTTGCCGCCACTCCAAAAGAACGTCCGCACTGTCAGAATAATATATAATTCTATATATTGTTCTATAATTGCCTGTAGTGTAGAATACTGTAGTCATATAACTTTCTGTTTGGTGGTGCACCTTTCTTCATTCTTGCCTATTTGTACTGCTCGCTCTATAGTGAACAACCTCTTTTGTTGGCCAACACCTCTCGCTACTTCCCTTCCCAAGTTCCTAAGCTACTCACTAACTTATGGAGGTTCCTAAGGCATAGCACTAAGTTTAACACGCACTGCCCCTGCAGAGAAGGAGAAAGTGATAACGGATCCGCGACACCGATCTCCAGAGCGTGAGCCTCTCTGGCCATTGGTCGTCGCACCACAACATCAGCCCGCTTCCCCGGCAGCACCACACTATCTTCCATCATCACCAACCCCCCTGACGCTTTCGAGATCCTCGCCACCGCAAACTTCTCGTCGTGCACCCGAGATGGACAGTGCTGGTGCTTGCATCGCAAAGCATTATGGGGGTCCGCTTGGTCAGCATACGCCGTGTGACACATACACCGCCCCGCCACCTGCAACTGCTGAATTGGGAGCCCAAGACGTATAGCAGCAGCAATGCCCCACTCCGCTGCGGTGAATGTGAAATATGACTGAGCCGGGACCGCCGAAACCCATGCACCAGCCCCGGGGCCTTGAAGGGATGTGAAACGGGCCAGAGTGGCATCGTCACGGGCTGAGAGGCGCAATGCCTGGAGCTCCTCTACAGCCAACTTCCGCTGCCGCGCTTGGAAAAGTCGAAGAGAAGGGGTCGCCACGCACAGAGGTAAGCCCGGCATCTCCTGACGTATAGTCGCAGGCAGCTGCTCAAGGGCCTTAGCGAACCACGAATCAAGAAACTCCGTCTCTGCGAAAGTGCTGAGGTAATATGCAAACATCGCCTCCTCACCCGCTACCCCCGGCTGTGCAATGCCGTGCGCTCCCTACGCCCACCCTCAGCCGTAGGACAATGGGCTCAAAGAGGCCGCCGCCCGGATCCCAAACCCTACGAGTCGCACAAGGAGGTGCAGTTGCAGGTGGGCGCGCCTAGACCGGTCGGGGTCCTGCTCCCAAGTGCCAGGTGGGAAAAGTTGCTAAAAGCAGTCTTCCAGACAACTGTCCCACTCTTGAAAAGCTTCTACCATCTCCAGCCGTAGCGGCATAGTCAGTGCGAGGTACATCGGCCGCGTTGAAACTGCAATGGTGAGGAGATGTGAAGCCATCTGGGGGTGGTCGAGAAGGGAGAGCCACGGCAATGGCGCGCGCAACTGTCGAATCCGCTCCCGCAAACGGACAACTTCCCAGTCCTCCTCTCCAATAGGCACACCCACTACAATGAGACCCTCCTCTACCCGCTGCATGCTCAATGGCAGTGCCCGCACTGATTCCACATCTACGCGCTCCCAAAACCGGCACTTGTGAGCATGCACCTCCAACCCTACCCACTCCAACCGCTCCCGCAACACCCCAAAAGCCTCCACTATCCTAGCTGTTGGGCCCAGGATCTAGGTATCATACGCATAGCTCAGGAAGAGAATGTTCCTGCTCTATAACCTGCTGGTGTGTGAACGCGAAAAGAAAAGGGCAGAGCGGGTCCCCCTGCCGCGATCCTCGTGCCAACGCGAGGGTATCTACGAAGGGGCCCGCTCGGAGGTAAAGTTCGTTTGGCGTCCCATAGAATACCCACAAGAATAGGATCAACCCTGAGAAAGGTGACTCCCGTGGCCCCTCGAACATCGCATGACGGTGAAACAAATTGAAGGCATTCTTGACGTCTATCTGCAACATGCGCCAGCCGGGGTGAGTGGCCAGTGCTGTTCGGAATGAGTGGGTGAGAATCTCTACCCCCGCCCTAGTGCCCGCTCCCAACTAGTTGTAAGGCATAAATTGGGAAACCATCGCAGGACGAAGCGGGATGAAGAGTGCCCGAGCGAGGATACGCGGAAGCACCTCTCCAATAGCGACGGGCCAGAACTAAGGTTGGATGCGGCGAGCCAGGGCCGAGCTCGCTCGGGGGCCTGTCCTGCCACTCATTGGTTGAACACCTCCAGCAGGTGGGGAAGGAAGGAAGGCACTTTGAGGAAGGTGTCATGCAAATGCTCCGTAACCTACCCTGATGGTCCTGCAACTAAAGCCAGAGCGGCTGTATGAATAGCTCTAGCCAGTATGTCAGTTGTGAGCATAGGCTGTTGAGGAGCATCCACAGTGAAATCACGGACCCACTCTGGTACCTCGTCAGCGCTCGCAGGGTGCTTTCCCTGCAGTGACTCCACCATGGCTTCAGACGGTCAGGCCAACTCTTCTGGTGTGAGGCATGCCAACCCACGGCTCCACTCTCTAACCTTACACCGCGATCGGCACCAGGACAGGCGGATGGCGTCAAGTTCCCGGTCAGAGGAAGTGTAGGTAAGTGGACAAACCGCCGTAATGGAAAAATCGAACAGCTCCCGCCACCTCCCCTCCCAAACAACCCCCAAACGTTCAACAATCACCACCCTCTGGCCCATGCCTGACTTGGGGGTACTGCTAAGATTAGGTGCGAAAACCCCAAGAGTAGTAGTGTAGCGGCCTCATCCATCGGTCTGATCTTCAAGTGCTTCAAAATGCAACAGAGCGCGTGCAAGACCCCCCACCGAGCACACTGTGGAATCCGACGAAATGTCCTCCCTCCAATCGCATCTACGTTGAAAAAAGCTTCCCACTCCCATGCCGTAACCTCGACCCACACTTCCTCCCCAAACTCTCGCGGCGTCGGTCGCTCCTGGGAATTGAGCCGAGAGCTTGTGCACGTCTCTCCACTTTGGGGTGGCAAACGTGTGGAAACACGTGTCGCACGGAAAACGAAGGCATGGGGAAGGTGGCCTGGGAGTTTCCCCGTCCACCTCTGACTCCTCCGCGGTCGCCATGGTTGTATCGAACTCCCACAATCGATTCCACCCCCATGAATGCTGCCCCTGATCTCCCTCACCAACTCCGCCATATTGCCTCTTGCTGCCAACCTGCTCCGCCCCAGCTTGTTGCACTCCCTGTGCCGCTGCGGTCACCCTCGGATGCCCCCCTGGCTGCTGCACTCCCTGGGCTGCTGCGGTCACCCCCGGCTGCCCCCCTGGCTGCTGCACTCTCTGGGCCGTTGCAGTCACCCCCGGCTGCCCCCCTGGCTGCTGCAGTCACCCCCGACTGCCCCCTTGGCTGCTGCACCCCCTCAGATGTTGATGTAGCCTCCTGTTGCCCCCCTGCCGG